CTGGGGGATGGCATCCCCGTAGGAATTTGCATTTCGGAGCCAACCGATTGCCTTCTCCTCGCCAAAAAGTTTTCCGGATATTTCGGGATTTGATTTAAACGCACGGCGGGTTTCGTTAAAAGCTCGAAATACAATACGCGCGCAGGAGATGGATTAGTTCCGTAAATGTCAATGTCGGATCTGCAAGAATTTGGAACGGATAGACGTGTCATGGACGTGAGAGCGAGTTGAGAAAAATAATATTTATCTTCGAGAGGTGAAATTTCGCTCCCTGACGACAAGAGTAGAATAATCGAGTGCGATCGACGAGGTTTTGTTCAATATTTCCTACCATCTTCGTCGTAGGAAATATGTCCTGTTGTAATCATTTTATAAAGAGGATTCGAGATTTTTACATATTTCTGTTGAAACGTGCAATTTGTCTCATAGATATGCATTGCACGGAAAATGCTTTTATGTCTGTTTTAGTTTTAATCCTTCATTACTCGGATCAATTTCATTAAATAAAATCGTTTTATTTCTTTTTCATGAACTAAGAAAAATAAAGCAAAAGGTTAACTTAAAAATCTACTAATAGAAAATTGTTGTCCTCTTTATATATTAAATTAGATTAATAAATTTCCCAAATTGTATGCAATAAAGGTAATATTTGTGTAGTATGTCCATAATTGGCCATTATATTATTAAATTTTCGCCAATTGACATGTTTAAAAGAAATCTTGTTTCTGCAAAATAAAGGAGAGATATCTGCTATGTATGGGATCGTAAATATCGTTTTGCCGAATGTTGTAAATTGAAAAAGAACATAATATAACCGTTTAAATGAATGAGTCTATTAATTCTATTATCTGCAATTGCAGCTGGTCGAGTTTGCTATAGATCCACAAATATACATAATGCATGTTTACGCATCTATAATTTTGCAAAATCGAGTGAACAACGCAATAGATACGAATATATTTGATAAAATATGAGAACACTATTTCGTTATTGAATTTTGATATCGCTCGTTTAAGAAGATATAAAAAGAATCCTCTTTTTCTCTTTCTTTGAGCATACATTTTTCGTGAAAGTTTCTTTTTTTAAATCTCCCGTTAATCGAAATAATAACCTCTGATAAACAAGAAAAAAAAACGAATTCTGCAAAGCAGCAAGTAAGAAATATGTAAATAATAAAAATGTAATAATAAATTACTCACCGCTGGGTTGTTCCGTCGTCGTCCGATGTCTCCCAGGTCTCCCTTCGAATCCTTTCATATTCCGCCGTAGCACACTCACACAATACTGAAAAAGAAAAAAAAGAGTTAATTATAATCGTGCTCGGCACTATATGGCGATTGCGCGAGCTTTTGCAACTCTCATTAATCACATGCTGTTCAACGATGCGCATTTTATAATGAGACAAGAAAATAACGCGAAAAGAGACACAATATCGCGCGAATTAGCCGCGATCCGTTCGACGTCTCTCGCAAATTAGTGCGACGAACGAATCTCAAACAGTGGAAGGAATTCGAAAATCGTACGGTCAATTTCACACGCCACCCGCGCGCAGCGGCGATGTTATACCTGTTGCTCCAACTACGTACTTTCGTGCATTTTCCGCACTTTGAATAACATAATCCCGTTGCGAGACGTATCCTAAATGAATTCAAGCATCGTTAAGCAAGTAATTCTCCCTCGCCCTGGTAAATAATAATTTATAATACCCACCCCTTATCACCTCGACGTATTTCACGTATAAATCGCGCGAGGCTTCGAAAGAGATCATCGTTTTCTCAATCCGTTCATGAATCGCTAACCATGAGAATTAATTAGCTGTATACAAACCGATCATCTCTAATTGTCAGTCATGCGAAATGATTGTCTTGTGGAGAAATGCCACGTAATACGAGCGACTCGCGTTGTTGCCTACCAAACTCGAGCTCTCCCACGCGAATGCTAGCGCGGCAATCTTGTGTACACACAATGCTATTGTGTATTGTGTGTCGTGTTTACGTGACCGTTGTCCGCCTCAAGGAACGAAAATTTTCGAGACGCTGAATGCCAATCTCACAAGATATTTATAACGATTTTAACGTATTAAATAAATATACCTAAAAAAATTCTATTTTTTTGTTCTGGATTAATTTTAATTAATGGACTGTTATCGCAACATTTTGCGCTCTGTTTTGCGAGTGAACTCGTTACAAGCGTATGTGTAATATAAAATCGCGCGTGCCTACTCTCATCGAATTAGAATTCGAATATCTCCTATTAGTCTGTTCTACCGGAATTTTCAATTCAATCGGGCGGAATAAATCGTTATTTTAAGCAACGCCGTACATACATATATATATAAACCGATGTATATGTTATATATGTATGTATGTACTCTCTCTCTCTTGTGCTTCCCTCGTAAAGATCGAAGAGGGAAGGATGCCGTTCAAATTTCTCCATGAGGGAGGGCTTTGGCCGTCTCCCGTTTCTTTCATCGAAATTTCCTCTTTCAGAATTACCACGCGCTTCAATCGTTTTATAGAAGGTCCGATTCTTTCTCGCTTTTCCGCTAACATTCGTGAACGGCATTCCCGGGTAATTCGCCACGAAGCTGTTCGTCGAAGACGGTTTCCAGGTATTCGATTCTGCTCCTGCGAATCGAAGCTGCAGGATTGAAATTACCCGTTTTTACCGGTTTTATTCCGCAAATATGCGTTTCACGTTTTCTGCTTTTCTTACAACGTTATTTGATATTAAATTTCTGATATGTTAATATTTGAAAATCTGTCACGCTATTTGTTTCGCTTATGATTAAATAAATGATAGGCGAAGTAGTCACACACACACAAATTTAATTCAACAAATTTTACTTTTTTTTTCCTCCCTGAGACTTGAAGATATGTTTAGATATTAAGAAATGAAGAGAAGTTTATAAGAAAGAACAATTGTTATATTTTCAAATATTTCTTGCGTTACGCAGAATGTCGCTGGAAGTTCTAGGAAGCGCTACTAACAGGATCCTATCATTTATTCTTGTAGCAAGTTGGAGCCGTCATTTCTTCGGCAGAAAGTTTCGCGGAAGGTTTGTGAACTTTTCGCGTGTCTTCCATTTATCAAACCAGCCCGCGTTATCTGGATACGGCCTTTGAAGTTAACTCACGCGAGACATTAGAAGCTTGCTGATAACTGTGACAAGCGTGCATATGAAATACGCGCGTGTGTCACACAAGCGAAACCTTTGTAGCACGCCGACCAATTTTCAGAACAGAACAGTTTCGCCATATTATGTCCCTCTGTATGCTTTCCCTCCGTCTCTCTATCGCTTTCTTTCTATCTCTGTATCAAATACAGAATATGTTCGATATAAATATCTGTATTCCGTCTAGCAAGCGCTGCACTTAACTTCGACTTTATTCAAATGTCAAAAATTTGATTCGTCCCACATTTGTCGTTTATATCATATCACTAGATAATTATATCAATGCGGTATAATACATGTAAATGGCACGTAATTTAATTTGCAAAACAATACAGGTTTTCATATTGTAATCCGTCTAGATAATCTGGGTCAAGCTAAAGTAAATGCAGGGAATAAATTTACATAAAAACAATCGATGTCTCATAGATGGGCATGTAATATTTATTTTCAATTTTCTATTAATAATAAAGTGCTATTTTCCTTATTCATTGTCATTGCTATTATTATTTGTCATTCCCTTTATATCTTTGGTCACTCGTATATGACGTTTGAAGCGAGATTCGCAGGGCGGAGCTTGACCCGCTGTTGATGACATCGTGTTCACGCATTCAAGCGGCATCACGGCAAAATAAAGCAGTGGGGAAAAAGCCTCGTTTCCGCGAGGATGCGAAGAGTGAAACAGCGGGGGGAAGATGGAAAACGCGCGCGTGAAGGGCCAGAAATTGCGTTCGTCGTAGTATTTTGCATATACCGGTTTTACCACCGTGGCTGGCGTTCGCGTTTACACAAGAATTGTCCATCTGTATGTACGTGTCCACCGCCAAGGGAGCAAATCCGGGAGCAAAAAGGGGAAAACCGGCAGAAACATTCCGGCGCGATTCGTTCGCGCGGTTGAATTCTCTTTTCCCATATCGTCGTATTTCTTCATTCGCAGATGGTTTTTCCGTCGTCGGCTGGTTGAGTGAATTTCGTTTGCTGTCTTTGCATCGGAGAAACCGTAAAATCGTGGTGGAATTGCGTAGGGCGGAAAATAATATTGGGAAATGCAGCTGAATAAAGTGCAATTAAATTGTCCTGTAATACACTCTCGAAATGCACTTATCGGTATGATTATCGCGACACAGAATTTAATGCCTTGCGAAAACAGAGCAAACCGACATCATTCTACAGCGACGATAGAAAAGGATGAATTATTCTCTTCGCAAACTTAATGAAATAATATTCAACACAACAGAAAATAATATCAGACCTTATCTATATGGATTAAATAATAGGTCGCGTACAAATAGCTTTTTACTTTCTTATTCTATTAATTTTTTTTATACTCTAATTTGTTCTGTACACGAAAACTTTCAATATGCAGAAAGAATAGCTATTTATCTATTTAAATTCTGCTACAAATTCTTCAGTCGAAATAACATATGCTCTTTAATATCACCTGTCTGAGTCGACTTGCACTCATTCAACGATAATTCCAACTCATTTCACGAAGAGAGAACTGGAGTTAGCACACAACGGCATTTGCAATTTTTTATTCGTGACACAACACAATGCATTATGCCGTTTTCTCCAGAACGCGGGATGCGGTGAAAACTGTGGGTTCGGAAGAATTTGCATGTTGACGGCGCGCGTAGCGGAAAGGTGATTTAATAAACCAGACGAACGATGACGTTTGCACGGGGGAGAGACGACGAAACGTCGTTTGATCTTTGGCTCCGTCAAGGCGTCTGGCGAAACGCAGGGGTAATATTTCGTTCCGCAAAAGTGGAGCACGGAGTGTCGTAATAAGTGATGAATTCTCATTGCACGAGAACCCTCGGGGAAGAACTTCTCGATGACAATGGAGTCAGTGGCACGGTGAGAAATTGCTACAGCAATCAAATGACGTGAACATCGAGCAGGAGTCGATATCTTCCGAGCGAAGACGCATCGCAAATTAATGAAGTAACAGCAGCCTCTCAAGAAACGCTTGTAATTACCGTTACCGTTCCAGACGAGGTCTTACATAAGACGAATATATAGACTGATAAAAATTTACAGCTGACCAAAAATATTGATCATGAATGAAAAAATTCTTGAAATTTTTTTCTGGGACTGTGAAATCGATAGATTATTATGCACTTGACGCGTAGCAATAGAATTTGTCTCTTTGAATTTCGATTAATCTTATACAAGCCAAATCTAATACTCTATTTAGTTTGCAATTTGTAAGCTGTGTATCTTTACATTTGACGTTGAGAAATAGAACGCGAGCCAGGGGATGTGGAAACAAAACGATAGTGATTGTAATCTCGTTGAATATCCAATTTTTACATCTTGCTAGCAATACTAGCAATTCTTTTGTGTAGAAATTTACTTTGCCCGAAGGTATTTTTCCTAAAATGACAACTGGATTTTGTGCAAGAGATATGCAAAGAGGAATTTGTCTTGAACTGAATATAGTTTAAATGTAAAAGCCTGAAAAAAGATATATAAAAAAAGTTTACTTTTAAGTAAGTATAAAGTATAAAATATCAGAGTGAAAGGTCAATTTTTTTCATCGTGGTCATTAATTAAACAGATCTCGCAAATTGATAAACAGAAATAATTAATCGCGAGCTTATTAAAAGCGATGGAATCTTTCGAACGACAGATCATACTGTGATTTTTTTGAACGAAGGTTTTAGCGATTAAATCGACCAGCAACCTCGTTGAAAATACCTTTACACCGACTATCTCAGCAAAATTCGATTTTTTTTTTCGTATTCTATGATTAACCGATGGTATCTCGTAAATTAGTTAACGGAGATAATTAGTCATGCACTCGTTAGAAGCGGTTGAGTCTTAGCTTTCAAACGAGTCCAAGATTATCCCATTGCGCTTTTTTTGAGCGCACATATTGACGGTTATATCGACCCGTGATCTCGCGATCAAGTACCGGGGACGTACACGGTCAGCGCGCACGTGGCACTCGTTGGCGGCGTATCATATTTCAAAGCGCACGTACTACACGTGTTTTCACAGCTTTTTTTTTGGCCACCTGTCACCTGAGGTGTGAACTTATATAAGTAAAAAGTGCGACGCGACGTTCTTCCATCTACGTGCGCGCGTGTCCGATTTTCAAAACGCT